GAACCCATTCAAAGGAGCTAGGACGGGCCGGGCGCGGTGGCTCACGCCTATAAATCCTAGCACTCTGAGAGGCCGAGGCAGGCAGATTGCCCGAGGTCAGGAGTTCGAAACCAGCCCGAGCGAGACCCCATCTCTACTAAAAATAGAAAGAAATTAATTGGCCAACTAAAAATATATAGAAAACATTAGCTGGGCACGGTGGCGCATGCCTGTAGTCCCAGCTACTCGGGAGGCTGAGGCAGGAGGATCCTTGAGCCCAGGAGTTTGAGGTTGCTGTGAGCTAGGTTGACGCCACGGCACTCACTCTAGCCTGGGCAACAAAGCGAGACTCTGTCTCAAAAAAAAACCAAAAAACCCCAAAACCACAAAGGAGCTAGGGACAGAGAATGTTCCAGAAAAGATATGCTAATGACTCACGGTCCTAATGGCTATCAGCCCCGCAGAGGCAGGCGGGGTGGTGACTTCCTGATTTTGCATTTCTAGCACCAGACAGTAGATGTCACAGAACGGAGACTCAGTGAGATGGGTAGCATTGAAAATATTTGGCTAAACATCTGTGTTCTTTGTCTCTGCTTCTATCCTAGAAAGCAGCAGTCTATGAGCACAGGGTAGCATGCCTATAAGGGGCCAGTCATTCCTAGCCCGTGGGCAATATTAATGACTTGGGGGAGGGGCAGCTCTTCACTCTCGTGAATGAAACACACAAGCAAAGCCTCACTGGTGTGAGTCCACGAGAACACGGGGACTATGGCCTCTATCTGGTGCAGGAACCCTCTGACTCTAATAGGTACTTAGGGACGTTGGGATAGTGCAGACTCTTATTCTGTAGGTCATGGGCCGGCAGCTGCCACCTCTCCCAGGTGACGCTCTGGTCCTTGTCCCCACACTTTGCATAGCAAGGTTCCAGGAAAGGGGATTCCGAGTGGCTTGCTCCTACCCCAAGCTGGATGCACTCAGGGAGTTTGTGCTGAGAAAGTTACTTCCTTTAGGGAGGAAGGCTCAGTTGGGCTAGTCGTAACACCTTTTTTAGGAAATAGAAACAAGTACTTGGCCAAAGAAGTGAGGGAAATTCTACCTCCTGTACCCACTTCCCTCCTGCCAGGGGCTTTACGTGCCAATTAAATAGTCAAGAGTCTGAGAAGTCTTCTAAGAAGTCTGTTTAGTTTTTGTTCAACCTGGCATTTCCCAAATGCATTTGATCATGAACTCCCATGGAAAAGAACATGTATGAACTTGAACAAGTGTCTAAAGGAGTCACAGCTGCTTCATAAACCTGCCCTGAACATGGGGAGACAGGACAATGTGCGTACAAGGCAGAATCTTTATTTTATTTTATTTTTTTTGGAAAGGACAAAGCTACGTTTCCTGGAGCAATTAATTGGATTGGCAAGTGCTTTGGTTTGTTAACAGCAAGCAGAAACTGCCAACGGATTTTAGGGTTAGAATAATCGCTATTCCTGTTCAGATGCATTTAGGGGAAAGTTTAAATTGTCCAAAAATTGTCATAATTGAGTCAATCATGCCTCTAGGGACAAATACTTTGAGCTCACGTGGCTATAAGGGTACAGTCAGTGAAGTTGTCATTTTGACACTTTTATTGGTCTTCGCGTTCTGTTTCAAAATGAGAACTTTTGGTAACTTTCAAGTTTAACTTAAGGGGCATAGTTGTTTTCTACTATTCAGCTCCTTCTGTCACTGCACACAACCTAGTGCCACTCACCAACTCATCAGCTTCAAAGGTATTCTTAGGGAAGCCTGGACTACACGACAGTTGGCCACCAAACTGCATAAAACATCAGGCGGCCTTCTGAGGGTGCCAAAGGCCTTACCTGTCAACCTCAGGTGTCTTTTTAAAAGGCGCCCTACTGCCTTATTCCATAAAATCAATTTTCAAAAATACTTGTGTTTTTTTTAAAAAATGTTGAAATATGAAACACTTTTCCCCAAAATATAAATACCTTATGAAAATTGGCGATTTCTCTATATTTTATCATTCTCCTTAAAAGGACAATGAAGAATAAAACTCTGGTGGTGGCCTCTAAATAGTTTAAAACTTAAAGAGAGGCCAATTTGAAATTATATGAATCTTGAGACGTATTTGGCCTCAAATAACCCTCGAGGAGGGTTTATGGAGTTGTTTGTTTTTTTTTCGAAATCAGTGTCAGAAAACTTGAAGCAAGTGCATCAGTGAGCAAACCCTTTTTGTTGAGGGTGGGCTAGCATTCTCTCTAGTAATTTATCTACTTCTTTTTGAGCCTTCTTTTACTCTACCTTTGAGTAAAAAAATGTGACAAACGGTAGGAAGGTGAGGAGGCTCACGTTAGTTACAAGGATGTATGGATTGGGTGCATTCAGAGGTTGACAACAGGATTTATTGTCCTATCTCTTAAGTGATTCAAATTAAAAAAAAGTCCAAAAAGCAGAAATTTAGGATTTCTTGATTGATAAGCTCTGTTTTGAGGGGGGAAAGAACTTTCCACCGGCATGATTAAAAGCGGTTCATGCTTTTGATCTTTTCCATAAACTAAACTTATGCTTATAGAGAACTCAGTAGGCATTGTGCATTCTTGATAATGACTCTTAAAATAACGGCTCCTACCTCCAGCTCCAGCTCCTCCCTGTCCATCTCCTGGTGGATGTCCCCAATGTAGTCATTTGGATCGTAGTATTCATGGGCTGAGGGATGCCTGCAGAAAGATGCAAGATCTTTAAGTCCCCACTGCTAAAATGGTCGTCCATTTTTCTTGTCCCCATGGTCAGGCCCAGCTGTACCCCGGCACTGCCCAGCGTCTGGGCCCGTTCTTAGCTCACCGGCCACTGGCTGGGGCTCTCAGCTCGGGCAGGGCCTCTACTACCATATTTCCACCGTTCGCTGTAAAAGCCCGTTTCCTCTGGAAGGAGTTAAGACGCCAGCTGAGAGCCCATCTCTGAGCCTGCCAGTCCTGCGATTCCATGTGACCAATTCCTAACGAGGTCTCCAAGCAGGAGACTGGCCCATATTTACTGCTTCATCGTTAGATTTTATCTCTGCAGAGAAACAGGCTTGACTTTAGGCGACACTCAAAGATCCGTGTTGGCCTCTGAGACCAGTTCGGAAGGCTGTGACCAAAACTGTTATGCTGTCTTTTAGGACAGCGTCTTTTTTAGTATGTTTGATATGACAACCCAGTATGCACATACATGCAGGCATATGTGTAGGCATGTTTCCATGTACACACTCCATCCTGCTAGGCCAGCAGAGGCTTGTGTTTCCCTAGGACATTTATAAATGCAATTCACCATACATGCTTGTAACATATGTACATACATGCAGGCATATGTGTAGGTATGTTTCCATGTACATACTCATCCTGCTAGGAGACCAGAAACTTGTGCTTCCATTTATAAATGCAATTCACAGAACTCGCTACCTTTTTGGAAATGTTACTAACGGAACCTCCAGGGGCCAAGGCGGTGAGGATTCTAACATGCTCGGTCAGCGGCTCTGGAAGGAGCTGGGAGAGTCCATACTGCCAGATGCAGATGGAAAGTTCCAGTCTGGGGCTGTTGGCCGGGGACTCAAACCTTCACGTTCTCAAAGGTCAGGGCAGTGATCAATGGGCTCTGGTCTTTCCTCCCGGGCTCTTGGTTTTGAAACAAGGGCTGGCTTTCAATTTTCAGGACCCATCAGGCAAATATACTGCCCGCACTTAAGGGGCTTTGAGTGCTGAGGATGCCGCTGGAAGGTCTGGGCTTTTGAGCATCCTTTTAACACTCCCCATTCAGCCCCAAAGCACGCTCTTGCTGCTGTCTGACCTCTGCACTCTTCTGACATTTCTCAAATCGCCCCCGAGGGATAAGTCATGTCATGTTAACTAGACTGAAGAGGAAATTGGGGGTTTGGCTTCTAAAAGGCCTGTCACCGACAACTTGGAGTAGCCTTAAAGGCCCCATCGATAACACGAGCCAGTGCTGTTCTGTAATGCCAGGAAAATGGTTTGAATCATCGCCCTCGGCGAATCACCCGGTTGTTTCCAAGGATCAGCCGGATTGTGGGGCTACAGAGTCTCAGGGTTAAGAGCAGGGAGTGGAGGTCAACAGACCTGCCTTTCTGTCCAGCTGCTGCCGACTCAAACTGGGCAGAACTGGGGAGTTGCAGTTCCTCGTGTGTGCAAAGGGGCAGTGGCAAGAAATAAGGGACACAGATCTTTGCAACCTGCACACTGCGGGTCAATGTCAGATGGAGGCCCTGTCCCCTGTCTCTACACGCTGTCAGCTGTGGCCAAATCTACTTTTTCAGGCCTGGGGAATTAGCCCAGGCCTTTATCCAGAATATGACAGAATTTGACGCTTGCTTCCGCTCTTGAGTTCCCAATAGAGATCCAACAGGTATCACTCACAATATAGAGGTTTTCCCTGTAAGAGGTAAGATACCCTTAGAAATAATGTATCAAGCCAATCATCTGACCCTGGATGAGCCTACGATGGGAAGAGACAGGGGTGACCCTAACGCCAGCTACAGAGACTTTGTGCTCAGATGTGCAAAGTCACGTACAAAAAGCTACATCAAACTGGACATCGTTTGAGCCAGCGGTCTGTTTCATAAAATTTCTTGCTCTTCATTTTTTCCTGAATGGTTTACATCAAGAGTCCTGCAGTTAACGACGATCACCACGTGCTGAGCTGAGGACCGTCCACGTACTATTTCCTCTAATCCTTCCCCAATCCTATGAGAGCGATACTATCGCCATTTTAATACAGGGAAAATGCAGCCCAAGAAACTAAGCTACCTAAGTTCCACAGCTAGAAATTAGTTTGAGCATCAGGCTTTTCTGATTTGAAGGCTCTGAATGACTGTCTCTGGCAGAAAGGTTAAGAAGAGCCACGTGTAAAGAAACTTGAAGCACAGCTGTTATTTAATTGGCATGCGTGACACTTATATGAGGCATGTGTGGCCTTATTACATGGATCCAGGCTTGGAATGAGACCCAAGGAAGCCGAACGCCCACCCTTCGGGGCTGTCTGTACCCACAACGACTGACTCTGTTGTCTGTTTAAAAGAGCCACCCTGGTTCCCTCTAGTCATGACTGCAGCATCTTGCCGTTACCATTTGGGGCGATTAAATTTTATTCTGGAACAACTTTTACAACATTTGTAAGTAATTTTGTTCTTAGACTATAATTTGAATAACTCCGCTCCAGGGTTATAATAAAGTCATTAATATGTCGCAGCGGTTTTGAGCAGGATTCGATTTATGGCCTCTATAAACAATAAAGTTAAACATGGGCAACTTGGAGGAAAATTATGAGGCACATTAATTTTTTTTTTCACCCCACGGAAGGGGAGAAAAAAAACAAACAAAACCCAACTTCGCCCTGCTGCTTTGCCCCTACTTAAACACGTTAAGTGCCGGTGTCCTCAAACTACGGCCCGAGGGCCACATGCGGCCCACCGAGGACATTTATGCGGCCCTCCCGGTGATTTTGTCACCGCTGCCTGTCCTGCTGAGCAGCCAACTGGTCCCGGGCCCGCAGTGCGCATGCGTGCAATGTGCGCCCCACTCTCCAGTGGCCTGAGGGACAGTGACCTGGCCCCCCCCCCCATCTGGAAAGTTTGAGGACCCCTGCGTTAGTGAGTGGGGACCACGGGACTTACTCTTCTGGCAAGAGGTAGGGGCTCAGCACGGGCGGGCTCGGGGAGGACAGCTTGGAGAGCGCCATGATGTGTTCAAAGGTGATGTCGGTCTGGGTCCCCGTGTCCACCAGCTGGGACTCTGAGGGAGGCGTGAACATCTTGGTCCTGGGCGTCCTCCTCAGCACCTGCACCACTATGGGCTCCCGGGCTGCCTTGAAAGCTTCCACGGCCTGCTCATGGGTCGCTCTGGACAAGTCCCTGCCGTTGACCTGGTGGCAGACGTGGAGGGTGGGACAGGGTTAGGCTCGTGAGGAGGCAGAGACCGGAAGGACTGACGACACCGGGGCCCGACTGCTGTCGTGTTGTGTCAGCAGGCAAAAGAAACCATCGCGTGTGGCGACGTCAAGAGAACTTCCGTTCTCTAGGTTTCCTGCAGAGGCCTACGGTGGGGACAGACTGAGCGGGGAGGTCTCCCAGATCTGTCGCCAAATAATAAATCTCACAGCGGGGGGGGGGGGGGGGGCCTGGCCCCCTACTGAAATGTTTTTGACACAATTTCATCGCTTGCTAATCTCGCCTGCGAAAGAAAAGAGCAGCCCTGGGCTCACAGCCGTTATCAGACAATCACAGCTAACTAGGAATTAATTACATTGCTATGTTTTAATGGTGCGCATTTCCCCCCCCAGTTTGTGGCCGATGATACCAGCTTTTCTTTTATGGAAGTGACAGGAAGTTTCCTTTTCCAATTAATCCATTTGCTTTTCTGTTTTTTTTATTTCGGCATATTATGGGGTACAAGATTTTAAGGTTCCAATAAATGCCCATTCCCCCCACCGACGTCTGAGTTCCAGCATGACATCCCCCAGATGGTGCACATCTCACTCATTATGTATGTGTATACCGCCCCCTCCCCCTCCCGCGTGCCAATACCCTGTTACTGTAGTACCTATGTGTCCACTTAGGTGCTGCTCAGTTAATACCAGTTTGCTGGAGATATATCTGGTGCTTGTTTTT